TTTACGTCTAAGGTTTTACGTGGCGCGGCGAACGAGAATCGAATCCGGGCCTCTCAATCACGAAGAGCTTTTATCAACAGAAGAGCAATGTAAAAATTTTATTCAAGGTTTTGAATGACACTTTCATTTTTGACCTAAGAGTTTTCTAAAATTTCTTTACAAACGAAAGTATTGACAGTTTAAAATTAATGATTTGGAAATATAAAACGAGAAAATCAAAAAGGACAAATTAAAATTATATGAATATTTCATATATGTATGAGTTAAGCGTAAAAACAAATTTGTATCAATTAAGGTACGGCGAAATGGGAACACACCCAATTAAGTAGAACGGATTTATAATTTGTACTTAAAAGAACACGTTAAAATACAAGTAGTGTATTGTTTTAAAAAAAGCTTTTAATGTTTCATTGTTAAAAATTGACTGAAAAAGGGAAATAAATTCATGTAATTTTTGCTTTAACTGATGTGATCAGAATTGAATAGCAAAGAAAGAAAAAAAGGAAAATATGCTTTTTTCTGTTGATATTTACAGGTGCATTCTTGGCTTCTTTGCCAAAGAGTGTAGCTTTCAATGGTCGTGTGCGGGTTCAGTCTCTGTTAGTTACCTATATGTACTTTAATTGGACAAAACCTTGAGTTAATTAGAGCTAAAATGTAGGAGCTATGGTATAAAACTCATATTTAGGTAAATCACAAAATACGCTGTAAGTAAAGGTAATCAACATGTTGTAAAGCATAAAAACTGTCAAAAACCTTTCCGCTAACGAAGCCCTCGTTTTCCGGTGTGTTGGAATCGGACACTATTAATTAAGCATACTCTGTCTTCGGTAATGACCGTTAGCGAATTAGAACAGATACAAATACACGTATAAATTTGCTATCAAAAAACAGTATTTCTGCTCCAGTACAGAATGAGTACATAAAAAAAAAAATAAATGGTATTATCTGCACATATTTATTGATGCCAGGTGGTCCATTGATTGATAAGCAAGGTTTTAAAATTTAAGGGGTATATAGCAATTTGTGTAAAATTATATTTGTTTTCTTTATGATCCTTCTGCGAGGTTACTATTTACATGTAAATAATCTGGGTTCTTGTAGTTTGCCCTCTTATAAGCAAAACGTTTTTCTATTATTTTAACGAATGTCTATTTGTTCTTTTCCTTTTTTAATCGAAGTTGGTTACATCTTGAGTATATGTATAATTTCAGAGGTGGAATCAGGTGCCAAGGAGAAGTAAGCATTCTCTGTCAACCGGTCATATATATATATATATATATATATATATATATATATATATATATATATATATATATATATATATATATATATATATATATATATATATATATATATATATATAATTTCAGAGGTTGAATCGGGTGCTTCGGAGGAGTAAGCATCCTCTGTCGACCGGTCACACCCGCCGTGGGCCTATGTTTTGATAGGTATAGAAATTTAGTATAAAAACAAAGGTATAACATTTGAAACGCGTCAGCCAAAATACGACCCAATGATAGGTTATATTTGTTAACAAAGTTATTAATATAACGATCATAGAATTTAAGAAATGCTGACCTGTCAGTAGACTGCCTCGGTTTAAAAAAAAAAAGATCGTACTCGGAGCATGCTCTTGAGTATCGAATAAGTTGGGAGACGTGAATACCATGTACAAGTCACATATTGCTACACAAACAAGGAAACGATGGAAAAGCTTAAGTCATCCCATTTGTCATACATTTTTTGTTTTGTTTTGTTTGTTTGTTTGTTTTTTGTTGTTGTTGGTTTTTTTTTTTGCAAACAATACAAGACAAAAAATGTGAGAAAGAATTTTTAGAGATTGAGAAAGAAAGAGAGAGAAGGGGGAAGAGAGAGGGGGACTGAACTTTTCAACATATTGCTAATAAAAAATGATTTTAGAGTTTTTAAAGTTTTTTATCAATTTCCTGCCAATGCATTAAAATTTCTCAAAGGACAAGATAGGCTAAGACCCCTTTTTGGCCCCTGGTTTTGGGTGTCTTTTAGAATGAGGCAACAGTTTATCAATGAAAACCTGTTGTCACCCCTACCACAAAATGAGTATTGATTCTAAGTTATGGAATACACAGAGGTCACAGGAGGGTCAGAAAATATGTCAATTTCCGAATTTTCTCATTTTTATGCAAATTTTCATCGATTTTACAGCACATTTTGTTTTACAAAACATAGAGCACAAGCTTGCCTATCTACCAAATTTATATATTTCATACACTAGTACCAGATGCATCTTGTGTATAAAAATCTCAGATAGGCAAGCTTGTGCTCTATGTTTCCCGAAGTGAAAAGTATCTTGAATTTGACAAAATTCCACCAGAATTGAGGGAATTTGGGAAAATGTCATACTTCTGCACCATCTTGTGGACTCCGTGTAATCTTTGAATCAAAATGAGTGCTGTTTTTAAAACAAGCATCATTTTTAGTTCTTAACAACAAACTATCACAGTTTTAACTGTGTTCCGATTTTAACATCAAATAAGGGGCCAGATTCGGCCGTTACCATACCTTGTCCTTTATATTTTTTTTAACAGTATAAACTTTTCAATTCTAATTCTATCAGTAATTACATGTTTTAAAGCCCCAGTACTTAATTTTGCTGGTTTTGTGAACTTAATTGAAAAGATGTACTGTTTAATAGTCTTAATTAGAATTTTTTGAGCTTTTAAAAGGTCGATGTCTTTTTGCATTTACAATTTTGAAATTTAGTTGTTAGTTTCCTTTGTCGTCTATAGTCAGTAAAACATCTTAATATGAAACAGATGTGGCAGATTAGTGGTGTCTTTTACTTCAAGTTCACTGGGATTTATAGAGTCCACATATGAATGGAAGTAACTACAATTAATTGTTAATTGATATCAAAACATCATAGATATACTAGTACATGTATCTGAATGTCGAGTTGAAGATCACATCAAGTGTTTTTTTTTCCTCATGTAGATGCATTTGAATAAATTCTGCGTCATAGGAATATAAAAACAAGTCGGCTAATAAAGAAGCACAATTAGTGTCCATCACAATTCCAACATCTTGGGAGTCCTGTTCTCCGAAGACTATACATAAATATTGTCAATGAGGGAGTCCAGCATCCTTTTAATATCAATGTACTTTTGTGTTAAATCAGAATGATTTTTAACGAAGTAATTTTATTGATGACCAATCACAAGACACGAAAATATCGGAGTTTCATAAAATATATGGAGATAACGAACAGTGTTCAAGCTCAAGAGCCCATTCAAACAATACAAATCAGGAGTAGAGCAAACACGGACCTCTAAAACATCAGAGGTGGGATCAGGTACCATGGAGGAGTGAGCATCCCCTGCCGACCAATCACACCCGCCGTGTGCTCCTTGTTATGATCTGGAAATAATGGAAATATCCGTCGACAATTCAGTGTGTAAATAATGGCCTAACAATTAGTATGAAAGATGTCAGCATTTGACTTAGTGATAGATTTATTTGCTGACAAGGTCATTGTATCGACCATAGAACTTACAAAATGATGACTTTAAACGAGAATGTTGATATTCGCGTTTCATCAACTTGTTTGTTAATAACTTACTTCGTTTTAGAAATTGTTCAAAAGTAGGGCATGCTCTTGCGTATATCGAATCAACTGAGAGATATAAACCCCATATGCAGGTGATGAGGGTATATTGCTGCATAAGTAAGGGAAGTTGACGATTGGAAAGTTAAAGTCATCACGTTTATTATAAAGCTTTGTTGTTAGATTACCATTAACATCTTTATCTAGTAAAATATTCAAATATGAAACAGATTTTGATTGACGTGTTTGTTCAAAGTGTTTAACACTGAAATGTGACTTTGAAGAATTTCATCCTTAGAAAGTGAAACAGTGAGTATACGTTGGATTTCCAGACGCAGAATTAAAACTAAGTTCTTTTAAAATTCAGTTAAATTAATGAGCCTTACAAACAAAGACGATATTGTTATATGACTTGTCTGCTGGAACCATAAAAGTCTTTCTAATTCTTTTAATTCTTTTAGCACCTCCGATTTAGTGAATACGGTAGGATAGATTGTTTGTATATTGTCTTTTAACTTTCTAATATGATTCTTTAATATATTTCTAAAATTCTTAATCCATTCTGAGAAAGTGTTCAGATCTTCCTTTTCATATTTAACCATAAGTCTGGCATAATCTTCGACAGAATTCAAATGAAGTTCTGTCGCCAATTGAAAGATCGGGGCTTGCTGTATTTAGGACCTTTACGATCAATGCTTTTAGGTCTTCATTTTCAACTATATTAATATCACCGGTAATGACGTGTCCAGAGGGACTTTTGCTGAAAGAAGAAGAACAACAACACTTAGGAGGATTTTGTTTTGGATGTTCAATATCTAGGCACTGTAAGGTTTGTACCAGGGTCGAGGTCGATTACTTTGAAAATGTAATTAAATACTTTCAAATACATTGACAATTTTGACAATCTCTTGCAATTACAATTAAACTGATTTTTACAAATGTAATTAATTACTCTCAATTACTTTAAGGAATGTAATTAAATAAATTTCAATTACTTTAGTTTTATTTTCAAAAATCCTATAGAACAAATACGTGTAACTTTTAGGCAAGAGTATATAAAAAATAAATATTGTCTGGTGCCAGTGTTTCTGTATTGTTCAAACATTTAGGAAATATTCTGGTAGATTTACTTGTTAGAACAAACCAGGCCTAGGGATGGGTAAACAAAAAATGTAATTGTAATTGAATGTAATTAATTACATTTCTCAAAGTTTATAATTGACCATTTTTTTCAATTACTTTCCATTGGTACCAATTGCGCCCCGTTAATATCTGACCTATTTTGTTTTCATATGAAGCAGAATTTATTCAAAAACATATACTTGAAGAAGAAAACACTTGTTGTAGCCTTCAACTCGACATTTAGATAGATCGACGACGTACATGTATTATCAATTAACAAGAGTAATTGTTATTAGCAGACACATTTTTGTATTCTCTTAATCTTTTGATAAAGATTAGAATCACCATTTTCCTCCCTTGACCCCTTATTTTTCCGTTTTTGTGCTTGGGCTGGTTTCTGTTGGCGGGGGGCCTGAGCAGCTGGGACAGAGGATGAGGCTGTGGGGCTAGTTGTGGTTGCAGTGCTGGGTTTTGGTGAGTTTGGGTCACTTCCAGGGGTCTTACTGGCATCCAGACTGTCAGTAATTCCACTGTTGGCACCTTGTGGACCTTTACCGATTTCCTTGCTCTTGTCCCTTCTCTTTTCTCTGCAATTCGAACTCTCCTTCTTTGGCAGCCATCATTCTGGGTTTATCTCAGCATCAGGAATCTTAGGCATCTAACCGTTCCTCTTTTTCTACATGTTGATAATCACATCACCTGGTAATGGAGCTGTGTCTGCTCTCTTCATATATTTGGGGCCAAGCGTGCTGAAGGAGGGCTCGAGCTGATCCACATCAATGTCCAGAGTAAGAGCAATCTTCTCAACAGACGGCAAGTCCTTACTGCAAGGTTTAGCTTTCGCTGGATCAAACTGGGAATAGGCAGTGATCAGCTGCGCAAGAATTCTAGGATCATCCGATTTCTTCTTGTTCAGCTCTTCTAACATTTTAGCAGATTGTTGAGGACTTCCGTTCTTCAACTGGACGTCAGCATTGGCTCGCGTAAGAACAGGAAGAAAGGGTGACTGTCGCTAGTTCGTGTTGAACCAGTATACTGTCAGAACCGGTACTTCAGAGGCTGAGTCCTAGTCTTATTGATTCAGATACAGAGTAACTAAGACTATACCACCCCTAGTTGGTATCTTATACCCCCCTCCCCCAGTGACTTTAGTGAGTTACAGGCTTCATACACATGACCCTGAGTAAGGTACAGCTTAACCATCACTAATTTAGTGTTCGGAGCCTAGTAAAAGTCATTATTAAATGCACAATGACGAAGAATGCACAATGAATGGTCTGAAGAACATTCACTTTTACTTCTCTACATTCATTTTTCTCCTCCAGGTTTTCTTCGAGAGTTTTCTTTCTTGACTTTTACCTCTCTACATCCCCCAAGGTTTTCTGAGCGTCCCTTCTTATGTGATTTTGTATTTCAACCTTATTTTGGCGGTCTTACTAATTTAGAGTTAAATATTATCAGAAGCTTTGTCTTTCTTATCCTTCTTTTCATGAGGAGAGAGTATGATGTTTTCTTTAACGTATTATATATCCTTCTTTTAACTATGCTCTAATGTTATTGTCTAATCCTCTATTAACAATCATAATGATTTAAAGATACTTATTTGGTACCTCCTCCAAGGTGTTAAACAAATCCTGACAAGAGTGGTGTTTCTTTAATTTGTCTTTGTTTTTCCTAACTTGGTTTTTCCTAACATTCAGACATAATTCAGTATCAAAAGAACAAACAGAAGGCCCACCTACGTGTCTCAATGGAATATTACTACATAAATACGGAAAGTTGACGATGGAAGAGTTGAAGCCATCCATCTTGTGAAGTTTAGTTGTTGGTTAAACATTATACATATGTACAATCATGTAGTCAGTAAAACATCTAATTATGAAACAGATGTAACAGACTCTGTTGTGTCTTTTACTGTGTATTACTGTGTATTTCGAGTTCACTGTGATACTAGTATATCGAGCTGACATATGAATAAAAATATTGAGCTGATATATGAATAAGAATATCTCCATATTTCTTGTAAACTGATAACATGTCGATATATCGAAATGTTCAATTAGAAGCAACTTCAAGAGTTTTCTTCTCATGTAGAATTTTTTTGAATAAATAAGAATATAAAAACAGGTCGGTTGTTAAAGAATACAGTTAGTGCCAATGGGAATTCCAGTAGATTGTTGGAAGATCCGATCTTCTAGGTTTAACTTAAAAAGATGCCAGGGTTCCTCATTGACAATATTTATGTAGTTTTAGAGATCGGGACTACAAACTGTATAGGAAAAAAGACCGCACCCACGTGTTTGATCCTTAAATCTTTCCCCGCCACGTGGGTTTTAACCATATTGTAGGCAGCATTAAAGCAGTTTATTCAGCGAGGTTTCTTCAAAACTCCAAAACAGTAATTCAAGGTTGGCTTAATTCAATTATTTACACTAAAATATGTTTTAACTATGCATGATGCCATTTGGTCAATTTTCCCCTATTGTTGGATGGTCCATCAAGTTGGTGGTTCAACACCGAGTTGGCGCGGTATGCCGATAAGAATGTGGTCTTTTTATTGGTTGGATCTTCATACATAATTTTGTAAAAATGAAAAATAACATGTTCTTGTTGCGACTTCACTTTCCAATGGTTAAAATATTCCTCGTAATAGACATGTACTGCCATGACATTCTGAGCATAAATTTCAGTGTATTCACACATACATTCATTTGCATAATAAGGGTCTTGACATTTCCCCGTAATGAAACAAGCAAACCCTGTTCTCTCGAATTTTCGATCTCTAAAAGTATTTGTCATGTCTGTTTTGTAAATAAATAAATATAAATAAATAAAAATCCTCTGTATTTTAAACTCATAGAACATGTACATGTTATGATAGCAAACTTTCATGCCATCCTAGAATTTGCAAAATACGGGTAGACGTGATTTGATTAACCTTAAAGACTATAAAAACAAATTAATTGTCAAAACCTCTGGCATGTGGGAGAAATATTGAGGGCATATAAATGTCCATTTAACCAATTGATCACAAATTGCATTAGAAGTATATTTCATAACATATTTATGTTATTCTCTGGGGGTGAAAATTAAAAATAAAAAAAATTATTTTCCCTCAATCAACGCTTATTATTTAAAATTCATTAAAACAATTTTTATATAGTAAAGGATCCTTAATCTGCCTCATATTCCCATATAAAATGTTAATTTTTATTACGAAATATGAAGATAATGAACAGTAAGCATGCTCAAAATTCCATTGGAGGTGGGATCAGGTGCCATGGAGGAGTAAGCATCCCCTGTCAACCAGTCACACCCGCCGTGTACTCCTTGTCATGATCGGGTTTAATGAATTGAACTTAAATGAAAAATCTTAAAATTCAAAGACAAAAACATTCTTCATAATATCATGTCAAATACCTGTTTTTGTAAACACAGAGCTCTGTTATTGTTTATGTTTACGTTTTACCGGGTATGTTCAATTTGTTTACTCTGCATACATCACTGAGCACGGACTGAAAATACTGGTGATTTCTCACCTTTCTAAACTGAATCTTCCTGAGTATAATTTTACTATTTTTCATTAATACACAACAATTTTTTTCACTTTTCTTAAACAGGGATAAAATTTACTTCGTGTAAGTGCAGGGGTGTGCGTCAATCAAATGCGTCCAGAAATTCGTAGCTTTAATAATTTCCAGATAGAAGTTTTTAAAAACGCTTTTATAATATTTTGAGTGAAATGTTCTTGCAACATATAAATCATTATATTATACTAAAAATTTTAGAAATCATTAACTTCATATTTGTGCCCAGATCCCTTTAATATTTCTCTCCTACTAAAATATCCAAATTAGAAAGAGATGTGTCAGACTCTGTCGTGTCTTTTATTTCGAGTTCAAAGGGATATAGTGAATAGGGAATTAAACACTCGTACTACATCTGTTAATTTTTATTGAATTAATTGTTATTTTGACTGGAGGCTTACCGATTTCACTATAGAAATTTTTTTAAGGATAATATGAAAATATTAATGACTTGTACACTTGAACTTCGTCATTTCGAGCTGATATCTCGACAATGGATAATGGTATGTCGAAGTGCTTTGAAAGTCAAGACCACTATTTTTTTTTTTTTTAAATTCTAACCGTAATATCTCGAACATTTGGATATCTCGAAATTTTTTTCTCAGTTAGTCCCATTGAGTTTAAGATAGCGAAGTTTGACTGTATTTATTTTCGTAAACGTGACAAACCATCAAAACAAAACAACAAACTTAAAAGATTCCTTGTTTACTCAGTATACCTGAAAATTACCTGAAAAACTTTATAAACGGGTGTTTTGTAATTTTTCTTTATGTACGATAAAGTTTTATCCGACCATATGCATGGCGTTTTCATTTGGTTTTTACAAGAAATAAATTTAAAAAAAAAACAACTAAGCAATGGTTCTCTTTGAAGCAATTGTAATCTACTTAAAATATTTCATGAAAATATAAGAAATATTAATGTAAATAAGAAATTCGTTTGATACGTGTATATTTATAACTAGAGGGGATCGGTTTTTGAATCTTGAAGTCTTTCAGTGGTCCTGTATGTCAAAAACTTCAAAAAATTTCTCTAATTATACTTATAAAGTCCGGTGTGATCGTGTTTTAATAAGTACTACCAGTCGAGCAATAGGCTTTTCATAATAATTCACGACATTTTGCGTTGTATAAGCATTTTCAGCATCATCCATCCAATCCATTTTTTTTTAAGAAAAAAAAAACAAATTAAAAAATTAACAATCATTGTCTTTGGTCTTTTACGTGGATCCATTCATATAGACCACATAATTGTAAATTTTTAATCAAAAGAACTTTGAAATTTTAAGTTGTAAAATCAGTATTTAATACTAATTATGCATTACAATTTCATATTATTTGACACTTTCAAGAATACAGCGTGTCGGCTGCAACAAAGTTATTACTGTACTTATTCTCTGAGCGTTCAAAAACAGAAGAGTCAGAAACTTTGCATTCACATAAAACCTGTCTTAATGCCTTCCGGAATTTTCTAGAACTGGCGACATATAAGTAGAAATTAACAGCATGATTTGTAAACATGAGGAGTTCAGCAAAGGAAAACATTTTGTTGAACAGTTGACGATTAATATCAATAGGTTGAGAGAGAGTTTTCAGCACCGCTGTCACACAAAGCATGCAAACCATAGGAAATGTCGTTATTACAAATGTAAGCGACAGAATCACCATCATCACCGTCAACTTTTTTCTGACATTAGTCTTCTTTGTCATGAAAGCCTTTACATTTGTCAAGGAAATGTTTAGCTGGGAATTTCTCTTCATTCCGCGAATTTTTCTTATAATTTTGTAATTGAAGATTCCAGTACTTAGAAATGGAATGACGAAATACACCAGTAAGTCAACATAAGGCCAAATAAGGGTGATGTCTTTCCGTTGACCACACACAGTAGAATTATTGCTGTCCGGCATAAGACCTATTGTCCAGAATATGTGAAGATTTATCAAAAGGATGAAGACGAGAATTAGGATAATGATAAACACCGCCTGACGGACCCGGCAAAGAGAGGTGGCCTTTAGTGGATGACACATTGTCATGAATCGTTCGAAGGTGACAGCCATCACCAACCAAACAGACGAATCGCTGCAGACGTAGCCAAGAAACGTTAGAGTCTTACACGAGAAACTTGACAGGGAGTGGAGGTCAATTTCTAGAATCTCTCGAAGCCAGATGACCAGTAAACCAAGATGGAGCACGCACAAGTCCAGTATACACAAAACCAAGAGGTACATGTATGTGGACACACGACGCGCAAAATGTGGCATAACAGTAAGAGCCAAAACGTTCCCGACCACTCCTACAAAATAGACAAAAGGTCCTCCAAAAATGATGGTCTCGTTCCTGACACGTTTGGGGGGTTCGTCTTCCTTGATATCAAAGTAGTCGAGAAGGTCATCAATGCTCAAGGTTGAATTG